CCCCGTTCATTCGAGGCGCTCGCTCACACCCTGGCCTTACTCGCTCATTCCTTCATTTGTCCCGAAGCCTCCGCCACACGCGCCAGCACGGTGCCCGCCCGCACACGCACAGGCCCGCGCCGAGGGCCTGTCACAAAACAAAGTCGCCAGCACCGTGGGGCTCACGTGTAGTGGGAGAGACAGCAACCTGACAGACGGACGGCACTGATGCGGAGACCTGCCTGGGAAGGAAATGCAAGAGCGACTCGGCGACGTCCCCACAGCAGAGAACGGCCGCGGTCCCTCCGCCTTAGGAGACCCGAGTCCACGCCTGTGCGTGGCTTTGTCTCAGGAGCTCCTGGGGTGACGGGAGTTTGCAGGGAGGAGAGAAGGGGAAGCTACGGCGGGCTCCTGAGGTCGTGNTGGCCGTTCCCGAGAAGGGAGAGAGCCGCCTCCATGACCCCTCCCGGGACAGAGGCCAGCCTGCGGGGGAGCCGCACAGACCCGCAGCCCCTCCAGCCCCGCTCGCCCCACACAGCTTGGGCTCAGAAGCGGGGCTGGGGCCGCTGCACCCGTCCTCCCGCCCTCGGCCCCGGGGGGCACCTGACACCCCTTCCCCCTTCCTGACAACTTCCGAAAGGGTGCGAGGTGGGTGGACAGTTCCAGGGGCTGGTGTGGCTCTTCCACCACTGACAAGGTATGGGACAGGCCCAAACACAGAACCCCAGGTCCCAGCAGCTCTTCCCTGCCCCACGCGGTTGTGCCGACCGCATCTGGACCTCTGGACACACCAGCCCCTTGACCCCCTGCCCCCGCGCCAGTGCCGCTCATCAGGCAGAAAAGGCACCACCTCACCCCTATTTGCAAAACCTGAGCAGACAAATCAGAGCCCTTCCTGGAGCTGGTCAAAGGCCCTTTATCCAGAGCCCTCCTGCTTGTCGCCTCCGCAGGAATGGCCCGTAAGGCAGCCTGCAGCGAGCCCCCCAGGAGTGAACACGCCTGGGAGTCTGTGGCCGCAGCCGCAGGTGGTAACCTGTTCGTCAACTGCCAGCCTGCGAATCTGCCTTTCTCCTCCTAATGCCGCCCCCACTCCCAAGATCGCCCCCAACTGGAGAAGGGAGGCTCGGGGCGGGCTCCAGAGTGGCTGGGGCGAGTGGCAGGAGTTGTGGGTCGGCGGGAGTAGCCTGTTTGCCTCCTCTCTCCATCAGCTCCCTGCGGGGTAAGCTCCGGGCCCTCGCCTTCTGCCTTGGCTCCTGTTGCCCTCACTCACCCCGGAGCAACCCAAGGAGAAAGGTGCATGCGGCTGGTCGCCTCTGTGCCAGGCCTGTGCCCAGCTGTCTGGGCACCACAGTGCATGCAGCTGTGGACAACACACTGCCCACGAGTTGTTTTCTCCAAGGCTCAGGCGGGGAGAGAAAGTGATTTGTTCAAAAGCCCAGGTCACAATTAAAACACAGCCTGTCTCTTCCCAAGGCCCCCGACGGCGAACCCCAGGGCTCTGTCCCCCTCTGAACGCTCCTGAGGCCTTGCTCGGGGTTCAGAGCCCGGCACTGGCTGTGCCCTGGAAATCGAGGAGACTTCCAGAACCGTCTAGCTCTTCTAGGAGTCCGTAACAACTCTCGACTTCCCCACCACTATAAACCCCCTAGAAACGCTCTCCTCTTCACATTTCATCCCTCACCTGTGCAGGGGGATAATGGCATGTGGCTGGTGGACACAGCCCCAGGGCCAGACCAGGACAGACACGGCCACCCTGTCCTTGGCTCTCCACTAAGGCCACCGTGGTGTGTGTTTGGGGCGTGGAGGGGGACATACCCAGAAAGTGCTGAGCAGGAGGGGGACAGAGGGCTGCCGGCTGGGGTACGCCCCTCAGACAAGCCCATCCTTCCCACAGGGACCAACACGACGCCAGGGCAGCGGTGCTTGTAGCTGACCTGCAGCCTCCCACCTGTGACAGGTGCCCTGGAGGACAGCAAAGAAGGAGAGAAGTGTGACCGATTTGGGGCAAGAGCACAGGACGTGAGCAGGAGGGCCTGGCTCCTGAGTTCGTCCTTACCCAGGGGCCTCAGTTCCTACCTTCGAGGGACAGTCACCACCCTAGACCACAGCAACATCAAGAACTCAGAGCCCCGGAGGGGGCAGTGTCCATTCCCAGGTTCTCCTCACTCCACACCTTTCAACCAGAGATGCCAGCTCCGCCAGCACTGCACCCCAGGTCCCCAGACGGTGTTTTAGCATCACATAGCCCTGCTATGTAATTCCCCAAACAAAACCCTTCCAGAACTGTATCATTCACAGGTATATCTCTATACATATAACACAGCAAAGGCCAAGGAGGTTGTGTACAAACACACATGCACACACAACACACACCGGCTAAATTTTCCCTCTCTCCATATATCTAGCACTTTTGGAAACAGGTTTCCAAAAAGAATTGATTCATTGATTGAGTGACTGACTGACTGACTGGCTGATTTCTAGAAGACATTGCATTTGAAGAAAGTGTTTTGCTCCTAAGCGTGTTTGAAAATCCCTAGGCTGGATAATTCCTTAATTCACCCCACTTTCAGGCTTCGTGCTCCCTTACAGGTTTGGAATCCTCCTCTGTAGCTATGGAGACAAGAATGTTTCCAAAGCAGAGATGAAGGCTGACACCAGAGAAACTCCAAGGGCACAAGTCTAAGGCGACCAAGAAAGAGGCGTGGACCCCGGGGAGCAACAGCTCACCCTGAACTGCAGGAACAGAGGCGACCACGCGGGAGACCACGGGACGCGTGGACACTGGCAGCAGTGTGCAGTCTTAGCAGAATAGCTCCACCATTCTGAATATCGGGGTCCTTGTCAGTAGAACGTAGCTCAGCCCCCAGGTTATTTTACTTCAAAGGAAAAGAAGCTTGTGGAAGGTAGAGAGACTGGGAATTAATCTCTATTGAATGCCCGCTTGGCGCCAGGAACTGCGGCATTCCTGCATCCACGGCCTCGCTCACCCTGTGGGGTGAGAGTGCACAGAGCTGCTTCATGACCTCAAAGAGAACCTCGCCCTATTTAAGCTCAGTCTCCCACAGGTCAGGGAGGCTCGGGTGGCTGGCCCAGAGGCTCTGTCTTCGCTTTCTCTCCTGTGCCCTGTCTGGCACTGTTTTCTCAGGAGAAAGAAATAGAAGATCAAGCAGCTAACTTGCAGCCTCGGCTCATGAGAACTTTCTGGACTGGCCCCTGGCTCTGCATGCAGTCCTGGGACTATGCTGCCACATGGAGGTGACAGGCAGGAGTGAGGAACCAAGCTGACTCCTTTGGGCTCCTCAGCTCCTGGGCCCCAAAGTACCTGAAGGGACCAAGATGTGGACTTAGGTTAAGAACAAACAGTGTCTGGGAGATGCTCTCCAACCCCGCACCACCATGCAGGAGTCTGCTCTGACTTCAAAAAGGTTGGGAACTAAGACGGTTCCTGCAGGAACCCCATCCGCGGGGGAACATGGAGGGTCACTGTTTCTAAGGTCCAGGCAGAAATGCAGGCCAGCGGGATCAGACCCAGGGAGACTCAGGGAAGCCCAGCCAGAGAGACACTGAGCTGTGGACACAGTAGGACAGGAGGCAGCATGGACTAATCAAATCCTCTTAGATCCCAGTCCCCACTGTGCCACTTAGCTTTGTGACCAGGTGGTGGTGGTGGTAGTTCACTCATCAATAGACTGGAAACAGTAAAAGAATCTACCTCACAGAGCCCCAGTAAGGATTAATTGAACAAACACATTAAAACTGCCTAGCACAGTGCTTGACACATGGTAAGCCCTCAACAAAATAGTAACCACTACGGTGGTGGTGGCGGTGGTGGCGCTGGTGATGGTGGCGGTGGGGATGGTGGCAGTGGTGATGGTGGTGGTGGTGGCGGCAATGGTGGTAGTGATGGTGGTGGTGGTAGTGGTGGTGCTGGTGATGGTGATGGTGGTAAATAAAAAAAGTTGAATATGACATATTCAGAGAAAAATTA